TTCCATGTCCGAACCTCGTTTGGTTGTGGTTGTAGGCTGTCGAGGAGCTGAATATAAAGCCCCAGAACTGGAAAGAGCTTCTGACTGACGAGCCGTTTACTAGGAAGGACATCATCACCATACAAGACCCGAAGAATCTAGAGAAGTTCAATTTGTCAGCGTTCTATCACATAAAGAACAATGTCAAGGTCGTGGACGAGGGTAAGTTTTGGTGTCTAGTGGTGCGTATAGTTCTTTTAAAACAGCACATCTTAAAAGATTCAAATTACATAACGCCCAGCGAAATGGCACAGATGTACCTCAGGAAATTAATCTTAGGCGTCGTTTTCTTCTCCCGTTTCAACAGAGGCGGAGAGAAGTAAAATCGATCCCGCCGCACGGCTGAAGAAGGTGAACACCGTGACCAAGGATGTGTTGGAAGAACTCAACAGGGAATACAAACCGACGCAGAAGGTCACCAAGGAGCAGAGAAAAGCCGACAAGTTTAACGCCGTAAGTTTTTGGTAGATACGCTAACACTGACCACCTGTGTGATCAGCTCACCGCCTGACATTCTGAGGGCTCTATAAAGGATATTCGTGTCGGAATCTCGGAGACTTCTTGATGTGGCGTGTTGCATACCTCCAAAAAGCCGCAGCGTTGTGCATAGCAGTGCTAGCGTTAAACAGCAAAGCACCTTGGTGCGGGAGGATCGGAGAGAGGAGGAGGGGCGGGGTCAGCCATGTTGTGGCCGGCCGATCGCGATCAACCGACATCATCGTGCGGGCGCCAGCCCCTGGCTCGGCCACACCAGCCGGACCTGACGCGACCCAGCCCGCCCCGTCTCTCCCTGACCCGACCTGACCTGGCATGACATAACCCGACCTGAACCGACCCGGTCCTTCCCGCCCTAACCTGACCTGGCCTGACATAACCCGACCTGAACCGACCCGCTCCTACCCGCCCTGACCTGGCCTGGCCCGACATAACCCGACCTGACCTGCCCCGCTCTGACGTAGCCTGGCCTGGCCTGAAATAACCCGACCTGACCTGCCCCACTCCGACGTAGCCTGACCTGGCCTGACATAACCTGACCTGCCCTGGCGTGGCAGGCCCACTTCTCCACGGGCGTGGTGGCGGCCGGCTTCACGTCGACCGTAATGGAGCCGGTGCTGCAGCACGAGGCGGCCGTGGTCGACGACGACACGGTGCGCTATCGGCACGTCAAAACCAAAGGTGAGCACGCGCCTGGCCGGGCGGCGGCGGGCCGCGTCGCCGGGGCAGGAGGGGCGGGCGGCGGACCGCGCCGTTGGGGCAGGAGAGGCGGGCCGCGGGCCGCGCCGCTGGGGCAGCAGGGTCGGGCGGCGGACCGCGCCGCTGGTGCAGGAGGGGCGGGCGACGGGCCGTGCCGCTGGAGCAGGAGGGACGGGCGGCGGACCGTGCCGCAGGTGAGGCGGGCGGCGGACCGCGCCGCTGGGGCAGGAGAGGCGGGGGCGGACCGCGTCGCCGGGGCAGCAGGGACGGGCCGCGGACCGCGCCGCTGGAGCAGGAGGGGCGGGCGGCCAGGTCGGCTGGTGACGGCCATGCTGTCGTTGAGAGCTGCTCACTGGTCAGTTGGGTGTAGCTGTGCCGAAGGTCTGTCCGTCCCCGGGGCCAGCGGCCTCTCGGTTGCCTGAAGCGGTGTGACGATACCATCAGTGGAAAGCCAGTTGCTTGTTTGTTTGTGAAAACTGACGATCAAGCTTTTTGATAGGCTGGTACATAGGCCCACATTGACCGCTTGCGTAAGCTGGGCTAGTCGGCGCCCTGCTGACTGTAGTCTCTGGGCAGGTTATGTGCGACTAATGACGAATGTGGGCCCGCTAAACCTGGAGCTGCACTGCGACCAGACGCCCAAGGCCTGCGAGAACTTCATCAAGCACTGCGCCAGCGGATATTACGCCGGCACCAAGTTCCATCGGTCCATCAGAAATTTCATGGTAAGCAACATTAATATGAATCGACTATAATCGACTATAATATAAATGAACTACTTGATATTGCAAGACGAAATTCTAAATGTTGATGTTCCACTGTTTTTTTTTTTTTAGCTCGCTTAAGATTCAGCCAGTGGGCAATTACAGTCATCTACTGAGTAGACACGGTCAATGAGATTGGACCACCGAAAAACGGCCTTTGTCAAATGCGTAAAAGGTTGCTGTATCCCTTCCTTCTTGATATTGCATCTTATTTGCCATGCGTTCGCTCTTCACCCCGTAATAATCAGGCGTAGTTCTTGCCTTAACACGGTCCCAATGGGAAACCAACGCCACGTAGTAGCCAGTTGTATGTTGTAGCATGCCAACCCTTCAGGCCACAGCTTTGTGGCGAGGCCAGCCAAGTGCAAAACTGTCAATGCCTCCGGCGGTGGGCGTGTGTTGTGATTGAAGAGACACTTTTTGGAGTTCCATTTTGCGTTGTTGTAAGGCCTTTTTAGCTTGCCGCCGTGGGTCATTTTGGTCTCAGAAGAGCTGGTTCTAGCGGTTTGGAGACCCATTTCGAAACCGTTTTTGATAGGTACAATTTATCGTATTGCGCTTTGCTGAGAAGTACGAAATTTGGCGTCACTCAGGAGCCATGACGTATCGGTTTCAACATGTTTTCCTCCATATCTCCCTGTTCTCCCCCGAACAAAGTGCATGCCCAGTGTCTTGTAAGTTGGCGACGTCTGAGTGCACCTCTGTGAGTGAGTGAAATGTGAGTGTGAGTGCGCCTCTCGGTAGCTGCAGTAGCACGCTCCGAACTCTCCGCCGCGAGTTCGGAGTTACCGTAGCACGCTCCGAACTCTCCACCGCGGACCGGAGTTACCGTTTGCCGCCAGGCGGCCGCTGCGCGGTCGGCAGTAGCGTGTTGGCCGTCGTGCGGCCGCTTTAATGACATCACTGGGTGCGGCTGGTCGGCGTGCTGAGTCGGCGGGGCCGCCGCCGCGTCTGCTGCAGGTACAGGGCGGCGACCCGCTGGGTACGGGCGAGGGTGGCCAGAGCGTCTGGGGCGAGCCGTTCGCGGACGAGTTTCGGCCCAACCTGAGCCACACCGGCCGCGGCGTGCTCTCCATGGCCAACTCGGGACCGGGCACCAACAAGTCACAGTTGTGAGTACCGGACCGACGGCCGAGAGTCGTGGCGGCGGGCGCGCCAGACGGACTGGACGACAGAGTGTCGATCTGGAAATGTGCTCCAGTTGAGTGGATTTCCTGCCCAGAGTGAATACATCCGGAAACAAGGCACGTGTGTAGGCTCTAGGTGTGCTACTTTCGCGCCTGCCGACACGTTGCCACGATGTGTTACGTGGAACATCACAGCGGCAGTGCCAGCGACACCATTGGCTCTTCACTGACGCTGAACTGAACCGGCCGATGGCGGCTGCGCCTGATGCCGCCGGCTCTCCCCCAGCTTCATCACATACCGGTCGTGCAAGCACCTGGACAACAAGCACACGGTGTTCGGCGGCTTGGTGGGCGGCCTCGAGACGCTCTCGGCCATCGAGCAGGTGGAGGTGGACAACAAGGACCGGCCCATCGAGGACATCGTCATCACCGCCTGCCACGTGTTCGTCGACCCGTTCCAGGAGGCCGACCAGGAGGTCAGTAGAGTGGAGTGGATCCGCGGGTGGAAAGGGCCGTCATGTGGCCGCAAGTTGGTCATAGGGCTCATTCTGCATGACATATTATTTCGTGTTCGTGGTCTTAATATGCTTATCTTGTCACTGCTCGTCACAGTCACTGCCATTCACTGCTGGTGACCGCAAGCCGCTTCATTAGGAACAATTGCGTGCAGCCCGGAGCAGGATCGACTGGTCGTCCCGGAGTGGGCTGCGTTTGCCGCACGTAGTCGTGCACCTCCGACGACGCCCCATGACTTGACCTGTGACCGTGTCGTGACCTGCGCGTGGCGTGGCCGCCAGCTGGCGCGGCTGCGGACGGAGGAAGCCGAGCGGACGGCGCCGGCGCCGGCGGCCGCCGCCCCCGTCCGCCGGCCGCTCGCCGCCGTCCGCGCCGGCGTCGGCAAGTACATCGCCCCCGGCCCGGCCGCCGCCTCCACCTCCACCTCTAAAACGTGAGTGGCGACCGGCGGCGCCGGGCCTTGATTGTCGAGCGGGCAGGGCGAGGTGTCTCGCTGCCGCCAGCTGCCGATCGGTGGCGACTGCCGGGCCTTGATTGTCGTGCGGGCGGGGCGAGGTGTCTCGCTGCCGCCAGCTGCCGATCGGTGGCGATTGCCGTCTATGCAGTGCCAGTCGGTCGATTTCGCGGGGTGCGACGAGAGCTAAGTGAACGGGACAGGCGGAGGCGACGCTGGCGCGGTAGAGCTGCAGCTCGTCGCCCAGTGTGCACCTGGTACCCCTCCCTCCCGCCGATAGAGCCCTGTGCTTTGAGCGAGACCGCGCCGCACGGCAGTGCGACGACGTGTGTGGCGCCTGGCATAACAAGTATAGGCGTGGGGAGGAGGTCTACGTCTGATGCGTGATTTATCCAGACGACTGATGGACTGGGAGCGGAAGGCTTCACACGAGGCCGTCCGACCATGCCGGTCCTTCTCCCTGGCCGAGCTGCTCGCCACCGGCATCGCTGGGTGTCGTCGGGCCCGCCGTGATCACCGGTCATGCCAGGAGCGTTGTGTAAGGTTTATGGCGTCGTCATGTAGGCGGGCGAGAGCAATGGGCTGGCCTTAAACCGTGTTCCGATTTCAGGAAAGCTGAAGAACCGCCGCCTCAGGCGCCGAAGAGGAAAAAAGAGGCCGGCTACGACTTTGGCAGCTTCAGCTCGTGGTGATGGCTGACGGCTGCTTGAGATATCTGTAACTTGTGTGTGCGCAGGCGACGTACGCTATATTCATCGATGCCTTTTGGTCAAAATGTGGAACGGCTCGCACAAGACGGACTGGTGCCGGACATTTGCTCTGGAACGTTGATCAAGGCAATCCGCAAGGCCTGCGTCTGATTTCTGAAGCATTGTGTGCAACCACATCCCAGCCAAACCGCACCTCTTTAGAAAGCCATTGCATTTTGTGTATTGCGCATAACATTGAATACATGTTTAGAGACAAGGTCTGTTTCAGCGGGCTCCATGGAACTGACTTCACGTAGATCTCGTTCCACTTCCAACGGAGAACCAGCTGGAACAGACGCTAGATGTCCGCTCGATATACGATATACGATACGATGGATACGATATCGATATACGATACCATCCTTCCCATACTCTATCTAGAACAAGCTACAGGTGCGTGTGTCTTACTGCCAGTCACGGTACAGAATGTTGTTCAGGTGCTTCCCTTCCGGATCTCAGGCGTCGTCCGCGCTCCTCGGAGTGCTGTGCTACACAGCCCCGTACGGTTTCCCACCCAAGTGTCACGTCCCGCTCTAACCCGCCACCAGACAGCTTTGGTAAACAAAATATCCCGACAATATGTCAGAACGTGCTCCGTCCCGATCGTGGGTGAACCGGTACAAAACAGCCACGGAGAAGCGGACCTCGCGCCCGCCGCCGTGCGCGCCTCCGACGGTGCGCCAGCCAGGCCCTGGAAGGTCAGCCGACCACTCCACGAACGGCAGCGGCGGCCGAAGCGAAGCTCTGGAATGTGCGGCGCGAGGAAGGTTCCGGTCGGCAGCGGGCGGGCCTGGTACCAACGGCGCTAGGGGAAGACCTTCTGCACCGCCTGCTTCAGCTGAGTAATCACCTGCTGCGGACTGTCGGCCTTCACCACGGCGCTTCCCGACACGATCATGTTGGCCCCGGACTGCAACGAGCGCCGCAGGGATGGCCTAAGTAGGACGCTCAGACGTGCTCATGTTGGCACAGAGCTGTTGCAAAAATGTGCTGGTTCAGGGCTGTGCAGCGCACGACACAACAATAACTCAAAGTTCTTTGGCAGCACAAAAAAGCAACAAAAAACCCTGCAATGGTTGTCTCTTGGTCTTGGACCGAAACAGGCGTTCGCGGCGCGTACCAAGGGCGAGGACCGTCATCCAGAACTTACGACAATGCCATCATCGTGGCGCTTGAAAGCGCACATCTGGGGAAGGTCGGGCGACTACTAAACAAGTGACTGCGCCGCGCACACATTCACGGACCGCCGCGGGACCGGCAACGCCGAATCTGGTTACATATCGGCATCCAATGACCGACCGGCGATCTGGCCAGCTCAGGGTTGACCAGACCGCGGAGGTGACACTGGACTGGCATAGGCACAGGAGTTAATATTGCGCTGGCATAGGGTTGCTAATAGGCTGACCTGCATAGAGATGCCACCAATAAAGGTGTGCACAGAGGTCGACAAAGTACTGACCTGGGCACACAGGTCGATGTTGGCCGGGCTGACGCCGCCGTCCACCTCGATGTCCAGCAGCGGGAACCGCTCGCGCAGCAGGCGCACCTTGGGCATCATGTCCTGCATGAACTTCTGGCCGCCGAAGCCGGGCTCCACTGTCATGACGAGCAGCATGTCCGCCAGCTCGGCGTGCGGCAGCAGCAGCTCTGCCGGCGTGCCCGGCTTGATGCCGATCCCCACCTGACGACGCGGGACGGGCCAGTTCAGGCCGACAGGTCTGAGCGGGCGCATCGCGGACCAGTCCGCAGGCCACTCAAAGATGTCAGAACATGCCTTCCAGGAGCCAACTGTGGTCACATGAGAATGGCTGGTGTCTTTTCATTCAGGGTGAAAAGGTCACAGACACAAATGGCAAACACAGAGCACGCTGAAGCCAGCAAATGTAGCCTGGCAAGGGCAGATACTGAGGTAGCCTTGAGGTAACACTGGAGTCTCACAGAGCTGCTCTGTGACAGTGGCCATTCACACGATAAATCATTGCACTCTTATTTCCAGTTGCCATCTAGTCACAGCTACCTGATATAGTGAGCAGCCTGTTCCCTTGCTCCCTGATATAGTGAGCAGCCTGTTCCCCCCCCCCCCCCCTTTCCCTTTGGCATCAGCTTGCTGGTGGCCGACACCAAAGTGTCTGCAGCGGTGTGGGCATGTTCACCTAGTCAATATGCTTGCCAAGCACTTGAGTAACTGCACATGTGGCAGTATGCATGGTTGTGTGTGTGTGTGTGTGTGTGTGTGTGTGTGTGTGTGTGTGTGTGTGTGTGTGTGCGTGCGTGCGTGCGTGCGTGCGTGCGTGCGTGCGTGCGTGCGTGCGTGCGTGCGTGCGTGCGTGCGTGCGTGCGTGCGTGCGTGCGTGCGTGCATGCATGCATGCATGCATGCATGCATGTGTGTGTATTTATTGTTTTTAACTTATTGACTGTGTCTGTAACTGGGTACCTATTCAACCTCTGGACTACTTATGCAAAATAAATGACTGACTCCTATTAAACCTCTGGACTACTTATGCAAAATAAATGACTAACTAACTAAATAAATACATGTGGTGGCTATAACAGTTACAGCAGCAGGAAACAACAATGTGACTAGCTAACATTGCTGCTCATCTGCTGTTCTTGGGGAAGGTGGCTTTGTGATGCAGACACAGGCTGACACAGTAGAGTGGTTGATGCAGCCTGGTCAGGACTCCCTGAGGTCAGTCCTGATAGACATCAGATAGCTCTTGTGCCCTAGTCACATGATTGGTACCCTGGAAACCAATGATAATACACTTTCTGGGACTGTGAACATTCACTGCGCCATTTCTGAGCACTACTGTTATGTCATTGGCAGTCACTACTAGCAAAATGTTGATTGCTGACTCTCCTACCTTCATTCCAGATTCCTTTATTTTCCTGCAGAGTGCTGGAATGTCACTAGATGCCTCTGCATGGAATGTGTATTGGTTTCCCCCAGCATCCGCAATGGCTTCCACCCACTGCAAAATAAAAAACATATGTTTGGTGTAGTATCAAAACACATACTTCCCTTTGCTTACCATTTGCTCCCATGATGTGTCAAAGGTAAACATCATGTCAATACAGTACATCACCTTTCTACTCCTATAACCACCAGGCGACAATAACTAATGTATACACAGCACTAAGGGAGCTTATCACATAAGCATGGCCCACCTTGGCAATGATGTGCCCACTCAACACAATATGCTGAAAACAATTGCAGAACTTGATGATACACCTATACAAGAGTCCAAAACACTACAATACTCACATTCTCTGGCTTCTCAACCATCATGTGGAGGTCAAAAAATGATTCAGGTAATTTTTGTCTCAGGCATTTAACAACAGGATGTCCAAATGTAAGGTTTGGAACAAAATGTCCATCCATAACATCTAAGTGAAGGTAGTCTGCTCCTGCCCTAAGCATCCTCTCAGACTCATCATAAAGCATGGACAGGTCTGAGTTCAAGATAGATGGACCTATCTTTGCAGTAACTTTCCTACCACACGCCATAATGCCTTGTGCGGTTATTTTATATGGATATAGCCTTACAAAAGCAAAGCCTTGACTTCCCGATAACACAAGCAAATCACAATGAATCACAGAAAATGCACGTCTATGGTCTGAGTCCTAATGCGAAATGGGTAACAGCCTGGATAGGTTAAGAATCCCAATTAATAAATATTCTTTCTCCACTGTACGGGGATAGCGCTCTTGAAAGATATGGAAGGCAAACTGAGTGCTTGAGCTCGGCGCCCGCCGCCCGGGAACCACGGGCAGCCACCGAGGGGACCCCGGAAGGGCGTTCCGGTTCGGTCGTGACAGATTTCGCTGTGTGTAACTATGTCCTTTGGGGTGCGCCAGAAAACGAAATTGCTGCGGTATATTCGTGACGTTTATCAGCGATACAAAAACTAAAAGAAAATGACAGAATTGAGAATAAAAAGGCTTTTTATAAGTAATGAAATAATTTTTATTTGTTAAAAACCCCACAAATTTGCTGGCAAGCATTTTATTATAATAATATTTTATTTATAATTATACAGATTATTTGCCCACTAGGTTCCGAGAGGCTGTTTTTTAATCTGCATAGAATACGGCCAGTATAGCCGTAGTCTGACCAAAGCCTGACGAGTCTGTGGGCGAGTCGTGGCGTGGGAGCGGGGACGGCAGAGGTACTGCCGACTGTGGGATTCACGGGGTGGGTTCTGGGTTGGTTAAGCCTCAATCAAGGTAAGAGACCCTCCGAAGGGTATGGTGTGCCGTGGGTGGACGGTGGTGAGTGGTGTGATAATCTGGTGTGACAAAAGTGCAAGAACTGGTCCCTTTCAGTGGAAAAACGGCAGTAGATAGCTTAGTTCATTTCCACTGTTCCACCTTTTTTCCACGTGACGTATTCCTACATTTCCACATCCCACATTGTGTGGGCCCTGCCACACCTGTCCTTTCTCATTTGTCATTCCTGTAATATGCAGAGAATAGCTGGATGAGTATTGGGGCTTGTGGCCTTTTGCCTTTTGGATAAGAATGCTCAGTTGCTTGCCTGAATAACTTACAAGAAAGCTATGGTAATGGCTGTGTTATGCAGATTTACATCATGCAGATAAGCAGTTTATGGTCACATATAAGGTAAACAATGATAATGTTGAAGGGTTAGGTGGGTGCATAGGTGCAGGAACCAGCACATGGTGGGAGGCCCTTAGTATGCACCCCCCAACATTTGGAAACAACACTACTCTTACAGCAGTGCATGGAAAATGACTCTAAACTGTCCCAACCACACCATCCTTTGAAATAAATTGTTTGCATCTTAGGTGGGTGCATAGTGAGTACCCTATAATTTATCACTCAGGTCCTGAAAGAAATTTACATGATAAATGCGGTGATTATATTGACAATGAAATCACTCGCTCAGCTAACTCAATTCTATTGCGTTGTCTGAATGGATACTATAGATATATTCATTTTTATCAAGTGGTTCTACAATAGCACTTTGGTTGACATGTTACAAGATAATGGTTTTGCACTTAATGTACCTAAAGCCATAGTCACAGGTTTGCTTATAAGATAATTTTCATGCAATTTAGGAAAAGTTCTGATATGTAGTCTGAGCTATGTAGTTATATTGTCTACCAGATTTTTGCTTGTCAAATTCTAATCACCTTGGGTCTTCAAACATGCCACATTAACAATCAAAAGGTGGTATTAGCAGCAAGGGCAGGTCACAAAGTCCTAGAATTAATGCTCCCAGCAGCTGCATTGCCTATTACCACACACACAGCATAGCATGCGTGAAATTCGGAACGACTAAAATGTCAAAGTGTAAGTAACTAAGGTTACCCCTGTGCACAGTATGACATTTGTATGTACCATGTCATAACTGGCCAGAATGCCCTGGCTGTACTAGTCAGGTCCCCACTTTCTTTTTTTGCACCTATATATACTGCAAGGGGGCTCAGTGGCTTTAGATGTTTTAGGCATTATGATATGTTTTAAAGACAATGTGTTGTAATTATTATTTGATAGTCCACTATTCAATAAAAAAAGAGTCCCTAAACATTTAGTGCACTTATCAAGTCGCTTTCACATTAAGGTATTCTGTTGCATGCACTGAAAAAGAGACAGCAGCAGAAACAAAGCCATCAACAGCTTTAACAGTGTAAGACAGCATCATGGTTTTCACTTTGCTGTGCAAAAGCTTTCACCCTGCTAAAGCATGTCATGATTGGAAGACCACTGTTGATCACACAATCACTGTTCCCTTTTCAGATACCAGCAATGATTGGAAGAATTGCTCTGCCAAAAACAACAACTCTGTCACTAAATGACAGGTGGGTGGGCTGTGTCCCCACCAGGTGTGGAGGATACTCTATATGGATGCATGCATGATGTGGAGGATACATCTATACACCAATGAATGATGCATACACCAATGATGCATCCATTAATGCACACACCAATGATGCATCCAATAATGCATTCAATAAGAATGCACCATCCTTTAGTCTACCATGCCATACAAGGACCAGTCAGGGACAAAATTGTGTTGCAAGAAAGCATTTACCACCAGTGCTTGCCATTTTTCCTGTTTCAAAATGTCCAAGAGTCCAAAAGCCCCAAGTGGAAAGGCCCCTAATCTCACAGTTGTTAAGAGCTATTGGTATTGCATGATGCCTGTGATAGAGAATCAATCTTGAATCAGCTGCTTAAAAAGTGGCCTGTGAATAGGTATTCAGCATTCAATTTGCATGTGGATCATCTTGTTGGAGCACGCACAAGCATGATTGTAGCATTGTGGTGCATGTGAACCACAACATACCTTTCAAAATCATGCCCAACCTCATAATTTCTTGATCTCACCAGCATGCCACCACTTTTTAAGTTATGCTTCATATTGAAAAGCTTAAACATCACATTCAAATACTTAAAACTTTTACATACACTATCTGTGGCAAAATGGTCATTGTGTATTTGCGAAGTTCAGATTTTTGACATCGCTGAACATGAAACAGCATACATTGTGCCATCATCTGTGGTTTGTGAAGAGAATGTCAGTCAACAGCCAACAACTGGGGATGGGAGTGCAAGCGTGCAAATTAATGTTTGGTCCCACACACTGCTGTAGTAGCCTGGAACCAAAGCCAGTACAGCATAAATGTCAGGTATTGATGTGCAGTAGTTCATGTGTAGTATGTTAACAGGTGATGATGACAGATGAACATTTCCAGCTGCCATGTGAAGTTTGATGATTTTTCTGCTTGCAGCTAAACTCATCACAAAAAGAACAGGAAATAATGGGACAGTGTTGTGAATGGGGTCTAGTGACTGCTCCGCTCCTAGTGTGCCACTGACCCATTGCCTGTCGACGCGTGCGCGTCATGACCTGGCCGTGGTTCCACACCAGGTTCTCCCACTTGCGTCAGCTGCGTGACCAGCAGCTGCAGCAGCAACAACAGCGGCAACAACAACAGCAGCAGCAGCAACAGCAGCAGCAGCAACAGCAGCAGCAGCAGCGGCCGCGGCTGCAACTGGGCAGCTCGCTGGAGAACCAACGGCTGGCTGCGCAGATGGAGAGCCGGCCGTCGGTGCTGGCTGCGCTCGGCGGGCAGCGGGTGATGGTACATTTTTCCCCTCTCCCTGGCTGCGCTCGGCGGGCGGCGAGTCATGGTACATCTTTCCCGTCTCGCTGGCTGCGCTCGGCGGGCAGCGGGTCATGGTACATCTTTCCCCTCTTCCTGGCTGCGCTCGGCGGGCAGCGGGTGATGGTACATCTTTCCGTTCTCCCTTGCTACGCTCGATGGGCAGCGGATGATGTTACGCCCCTCCCCTCCCCCGCCCCCTGCCACACCCTGATGCGCCGCGCTTCGTAAGAAATAATCAACTTTGTAATGTACTGAATGCAAGATGTATTTTTTGTCGTGACAAACTGCCCACTGGAGACTTAATTTCGACCCTCGATTGTTGTTCGTTGCCGTGCCCAGTTGTGGACACGGTCTCCGTGTCACATCCGCGGCGGGCCTGCGTCTGACCGTCTGCTCTATCTGACAGCAGAAGCCAGCGGCGATGGCGGCGGCGGCGCCCCAGAAGCGAATGCACGTCAAGCAGCGTCTGGCGATTCAGGCGCGGCTGGGCGTGATGCGCGCGCCGGCCGGCCGCGGCGCCACCGTCGCCGGCCGCAGCATCCTGGCCCGGCTGGGCCGCGGCCGCCCGATGGTCAAGCGGCTGCAGCCCGCCCGAGGTACGGAAGGGAGGGCAGGGCGCCTGACGACGGTGGTGGCGTCCCGGGACTGTGCCAGTTGGAGGGCAAACTGTCGGCCTCGATACCGCGTGGGGTCGATCTTAAACAAAGGCGCTATGCTCCATTTGGCTTGTCCTTCAAAATGTCTCACGTTTCTAGGAAAATGAACTCATTTGGGGTCAAGTCATTGTGCTGTGCCTTTTTCCCGGCAGGGGACTTCTCCGTAACTGGCTGGTACTATGATCCCCCGGTTCTGGCTCCGTATCTAAAGCCAGCGGTCTTGTTGAGTACGGCTGATAGCCGCCGATGGACTTGCTGATTCACGTCAACTTTACATGGTTCAAGGACCCCACTATTTGGCTTTCCTGTCTTCGCATCCCAAGAGGCATCTGATATCTGTCCCGCGCTTATCGCTGCTCGCCTGCATAGTGGGTAAACACCTCGAGTCGGCGGTCGGCACCCATCCGTTCCCAGTTGGACCGAGCCGCGCGCTCCCCGTTGACCGTGCCGCGCGCGCTCCCTGTCTGACCGACCGCTCGCTCCCCGTCTAACCGTGCCGCGCGCTCCACAGTTGGGACCGTGCCGCGCGCTCCCTGTGCTGACCGAGCCCGCGGCTCCCTATCTGACCGAGCTGGCGCGCTCCCTGTCTGACCGATCTCGCCTCCACCCGTCTGACCGTGCCGCGCGCTCCCTGTCTGACCGTGGCCGCGCGCTCCCTGGTCCGAACGGAGCCACGCGCTCCCCATGTTGCACGTCCCCGTGCGCGCCTCCTGTCGACCGAGCGCGCGCCCCCCGTGTTACCGTGCCGCGCGCTCCCTGTCTGACCGAGCCGCGCGCCCCCCGTGTTACCGTGCCGCGCGCTCCGTCTGACCGAGCCCCCCCGCGCGCCCCCTGTCTGACCGAGCCGCGCGTCCCGTCCCCCCGCCGCTCCCCGTTTACCTGGTGCCGCCGCGCCCCTGTCTGACCGAGCCGCGCGCCCCTCCCGTGTACCGTCCGCGCGCTCCGTCGACGATCGCGCCCCCTGTCTGACCGAGCCGCGCGCCCCCTGTACGTGCGCCGCTTCCCGTGTTACCGTGCCGCGCGCTCCCTGTCTGACCGAGCCGCGCGCCCCCCGTGTTACCGTGCCGCGCGCTCCCTGTCTGACCGAGCCGCGCGCTCCCCGTGTTACCGTGCCGCGCGCTCCCTGTCTGACCGAGCCGCGCGCTCCCCGTGTTACCGTGCCGCGCGCTCCCTGTCTGACCGAGCCGCGCGCTCCCCGTGTTGCCGTGCCGCGTTTTCCCGTCTGACCGTGCCACGTGCCGTCCGTCGGCAGCCGGGGGTCGGCCGCAGACATGGTCCCGCGGGGCCGGCCGCGGCGTCAGGGGACGTGGCGTCGGCCGACCCACTATGACCTTCTTCAGGGGCGGGTACGTACGGCCGGCGGAGCGGACCCGCCGCCGCCTCCGGCCGGTCAGCTGAGTGACCGGCCGTGCGGTTGGGGCTCAGCATTTCGGCAGTGTGGTCGTACTGGCGACCGATCGTGGTACGCTGCTTAACGCAGTTTGCGCTTGCTAGGGTTATCGGGCTGTTGAAACGTATTGCTCGGTGTGTATGCCATCACTGGATCCGACTGTAGAGGCTAAATCCTTCTGAGCACATATCCATGTAAAAACGGGTCATTTTCCGTGCCATCTGTCGTAAAACAAAGTCCCGTGAATTGCTGTCTGGGTAGAGTCGCAATGGGCTTTCGTATTCTTAGTCTGTTGCGTGGACTAGAACCTCGCCACCAAGGGGGTCGGAATAGTCGCTTCTGATCCACTTCACTGTGTACGAGAATCCAGTCGCGTGGTCTCACTCCGTCCTAATTAGGGGTGACGCCATCATGCTCATGTTCGCGTCGGTGCAGTACTCGCCGTCCGGTTCAAGTTTTGTGGAACAACCATAGGTTTACGTGCTGTTTAACCTGAGCCCCACGCCTACGTGGGTCGTAAACGACTTTGACGACTTCATAAACGTTTTGTTTTTACGGGCACTTTATGTCATGGCTGACCCACTAGCCGAATGCTGAAGCCAAACGAACCTACAGTCTGCCCGCGACCTCCCGTAGCACGATTAAAAGCGCGCGGGCTGATGTGTTTATTCTGTGAAGCCTGGGCCCAGGTCTGTCCAGCGGCGTGCGCCGAGCTGATGATCTGCCGTCGCAGGAGCGGCCCGGTGGTGACTCCCGCCTGGCGCGGCCGGGGCCGGGGCCGGGGCGGCGCGCGAGGCCGCGGCCGCGGCCGTGGCCGCGGAGCCGTGCACAAGATGACCCGGGAGGAGCTCGACCAGCAGCTGGACAGCTATATGGCCAGCACCAAGGGCCACCTGGACGCCGAGCTGGACGCGTACATGAAGGAAGCCGGGATCTGAGACGGCGGGCCGGCTGGCCGGCGACAGAGGCTTTCAGCGAGCGGCCGGCGGGGCCGCCTCGGGCGTGGCGGGCCGCCTCGGTGGGAGAAGGAGCCGCGCCACGCGGCTCCGCTAAGCTCCGCTGAGCTCCGCCTCCCGGGTCCGATCTCGTGACGCGCGACCCCGGACGGCCGGGGGCGCGGCTCGCAGCTGGCTGGAGCGTCCGCAGCGGCGCCGCACGGGGCAGCGAGGCGGCTGGCCATGTAAGGCGCTGGTGCCGCAGGAGGCGCTCTATAGCCAGCGGTGGGCGGGATCCCGGCGGCGGCGGCCGGAGGCCCGTCAGGTGCGGGTGGCGGCGGTTGGCCAGTGCCGAACTGTACAAAGGACGCGCGCCCGGAGGCGGAGAGCTGGTCGCGGATCACGCATCACGCACCGCGTGCCAATGACGTGGATGAGGGTCGCGCTGGCCCAGTGCGTCACCCGTGCATTCACACGTGGCAGCGTGTCTACCGTGCAGACGTGAGCAGTAGAGTCACGTGGAGCGCTGTGACGCGGCGGGTGGGTACGCCATCTCACCCAGCCCATCTCCGGAGATGACAAGCGTCTCAACTCCGGAGTATTTGTCGGGCGCTGTGTAATGGTGTTTTTCGTGTGCGTGTGTGATGCCATTCGGGGACTTGCCGCGTGTTCCATGAAAATCATTTGAAATTGATGCTTTGGCGTTTCCGTGTTCCTGCCTGCCAGCGGGCGTTCGCCCCCGCGCCTCGCGTGCGGTGTACGCTGGACGAATGATGCGCGGTATGCGCGCGTCGCTACCAAGCGATGCTCGGAGCGCGATGCCTACAGTGACGAGAGACGGCGCTGAACACGGGCTGGAGTCACGGAGCCGGGCGAACGCACTGCCGGCCGAGTGGAGGAAATGAAGGCTATGGTCGCCGCGCGAATGGCGCGACATCGATCAAGGCTCTCGCCACCCTCAGTCGCAGAGAAACACGCTTCAGAGATGCTAGCGTACGCCCACCGAGGAGCGACGGATTTCCGCGCTGCGAAATGCCGGCCACGTCCACGGGAATTCGGCAGGTGGAGGGTGGGGAGGGTGGTGGATATGGTCCGATCGCAGGCACTGCCCCGTCCCGAAAGCGTAGGCCTTCGAAGCAGAACGATGTTCCGAGCAGGTCGACCGAATGGCGTCCGTGGTTAGGGCAATGAATGTACGGCAACGGGCAGCTGCAGCCCAGCCTCAGCAGAGTGGAACTGAGCTCTCGGCCATTCCGTTGGGAGGAATGTGGCGGAAACCGCGTTTCCCACCCTAGCATGCAGGGATTCGTCGTCCTGGATCGGAGGGTACACTTCGTAGATGGAAAACTCGGTAGCAACTTATCACCCGTCACGCCGTGCACATTAAGCAGGATTGCGGCTGTTTTGCCGTGCGAACTCCCGAAAAATGAGCTTTGGCCCGTGCCGGCTAACGTCAGAGACTTAATCCGGCACTTGATGGGATCAACTGCAGCTGCAAGCTGGTTCGTTGTCGGCCGGAGCAACGTAAAGACAAGACCGCTGTCCTAATGCCACGGCGAGCACCGCCCTCCCTTCAATGTCCATTAAGAAGTTGGATACACCCGGACCTAGGGACGCTCGCGAGACGATTTTAGGTACTAGCAAATCAGACATATCAGGCGCCAAACATGTGGATCATAACGTGGAGCACATACATGACGACTGCACTAGTTTCAAAAGCCGCAGTACTGTTAACTCCCAAAAAAGGCTGAATCGTCCGATCACTGCACCATATCGCCCGTTACCATGTCACTCCGCCCCTGAGGCATTACGTACACGCCAATCCCTTGAAGTGTCGAAGAGCTTGACCGCCTTCCCGTCTGCCCCCAACCGAGCGCCAGCCACCCGCCGGCCACCACACAGACACTGCTCGATCGATCTATTAAAAACCGCTATATACAGTCTCACGGGGTTGCTCCGAAATAAACAGCAACAAGAGGTTCACACGGGCTATGTTACAAAAATACCACAGATAATACGCAGTGGCGCGAGCGACGGCCGCACCGGGCAGGCCGCCGGCTGTGGCTCTCGGGTCAGATCAGCCTCAGATCGGGTCAGGGCGGCGCCTCACTGCATGATTGCAAACGTCGAGAACAGCAGATGGTTCGGACCGGCGGTTGAGATCACGAAATGTCGAGGAAACTATATGTAAAAAAAAAAACGGCGGCGCGCGTCACACGAACGACGACGCTGGCCCGACACACGACAGCACCATAAAGTAAACGGCAAATCATCAACAAGCAGAATTATCCAGCGCGGCGTCAACAACCCGATAAACAGCATCTAAAAGAGTCGCGGTCATCACGACCCGAGGCCGGCGGCTACGCTGAGGAGGTGGGGGGCGCCGGCCGCGCGCGGGCGCTGCTACCGGCCGAGGTCGGCGTCGCGTCGCGGCAGGCCCGCCGGCGCGCCGGGCGGCGCCGGCGGCTCCAGCCGGCGCACGGGCGCCGACGAGCAGCCGGCCAGGCCCGCCAGCGGACCGAACGGCGCGCCCAGCCCGGCCGGCAGCGCGCCCGGGTACACCGACTTGGCGAAGCTGTTGACTAGATGCAGCGAGTCGGGCGGCGGCGGGCGCAGGCCGTACGGCGCGCCGCCGGCCAGCGGACCGCCCTGCGGCGCGCCGAACATGCCCGCCATCAGTTTGTGCTCGAACAGCTGGCGGTCGCGCTCCAGCGCCATGCGCTCCAGCTCGCGCGACTGTGTCAGCCGCGCCAGCTGCTCGGCGGCGGCTGGTTCGCGGTAGAGCGGCAGTCCGCCGGCCGCCAGCGGGCTCATGGTCGCCAGCAGCTGCCGGTCGCGCTCCAGACTCTCGCGCAGCACGTCATGGCCGCCCATCAGCTGGTACGGGTCGAGCGGGCCCGTGGACAGGTGGGCCGGGCCCGGCGGGCCGCGGTGCGCTTCCAGGCCATAGCCGTAGGGCGAGCGCGCCGGGCCGGCATACAGCGGCCGCGGCTCCGGGGCCGCGTGCGCCGCCACGCCGTTCATATGGCGCGCGGCAGGCGGCGGCCGCCGCCTTGTGCTCGGCCGAGCGCGGCCGCTCCTCGTGCTCGCGGCGCGGGTCGGGCGGCTCGACTTTGAGCCGCAGCGGCGAGCGCGAGTGGTCTCGGCGCGGCGGCGTGGCGGCGGCGCGCCGCTCGGCCGGCCTCCGCTCGGCAGAGCCTGGCCGCCGCTCGTCCAGTGCCGGGCTGTAGGGCGCGCGCGACAGCGACAGCGCCGGCTCCGGCTTCATCGCCGGCCACGCGCTGGTCGGCGCCTGGGGCCGCGCGAACCTGCCGGCAGCGCCGCCGCGTCGGTGAGACAACCGCGCGGTCACGGTCGGCACAGGCGGCCGGCGGTGTGGGGACGGCACCACGGCGCCCGCCCCCTGTGCAGTGCAGATAAGAGGAGTGAACCGAACACACTGCGATGCTGACAGATAGTGCACACCTCAGCGCTGATCACAAACAAGTCCGTGGCACTACCTGGACTCATTCCATCAGAAGGCCTACATGGCTGTTGCATACTGTACACAGACGGGCCGTGAGCACATCCGGTGCAAATGCTATCGCCGAACACAACAAACACGCGCGATGCATCGACGTGGCTATGCTCACACTGATACCGGTTCACAGCTACACAAGCTGATAATACCGCGCCAGCCTGTCAAACCAGGCCACCGACGGCGGCGGCCTGTCGTCGCCCGCACCTGTTCCACGAGTCCATGGCGGCGAACGGGTGCTGAGGCGCGGCCGGCGCCGGCCGGTCCAGGAAGGCAGCCGGCGGCGGCGGCGGTGGCGGCGGAGGAGGCGGCGGAGGCGCCGGGTGCGTCGGCGGCGGCTGCGGAGGGTGCGGCGGCGGCAGCAGGCCCCCGTACGCCCCGCTGACGGCCGGCGAGAGGCCAGGGAAGCGCGGGAAGCCGGCCGCCGCTGCAACAGCCGGGCGCGCCGTGAGCGGGCCGACCGGCGGCGCTGGCACGGCGCGCCGACACAGGGTCAACATGGCACGCGGCAGCTCACCGGCGCGACACCGACGCACCTCGTGGTCATCACTGTAACCGTCACGCTCGTGAAGAGCACGCAACGCAATGCATTCAACGCGCAACACGCAATGCATTCATCAGGGGTGTGCATACCCAACCACCACCGGCAACGCGCAGACAGACCACATGCGACTGGTGCCAACAGGACACACCATCCCGGTCAGTGTTCCATAGCTGACAGTGATTGACGGATGGAGGGCCAGGGAGGCGGATTCAGGAGGTGCGCCTACCCGTCACCAGCCAGCTGGCCGGCGGCACGAGGCGGAGGGCACGGCGACCCGTCAGAGGAGGACTGCAGCCGCCGAGGACTGCGGCGAGAGAGGAACAGCCAGGATAGCCGTCGGCCGCGGACCTGCAGCCTTGCGGCCGAAGGGTGGCCCGATGGATCACGAGAGCCGAGCTTCGATGCGCGGCACAATTCGGCATGGGCGCTCGCAGATCCCACGGTCAGAGTTTTAGCTATGGGCCCCTGTCAGCCGTCATTCAAAACCCTTACACCGCAAATTTCAGACAGGGAGCCAGCATCGCAGCTCCTCCCCTCTTGCCTACTCCCAGCTAAGTTGACCCCTCCCGGAGTCCACCCCACGCGCCGATCAAACGGCACCCTGTCACGGCGAACCCCCGCCCCTCCCGTCCCCGAGTCCCCCCCCTTCCCTGCCACCACAGCGTCATGCCCCTCGCAGCCGCGCCGGCCCCTCACCGAGCGGGTGCGCGGCGGCGGCGGCGGGTCCGCAGTCGAGCAGCGGCGGCCGCAGGTGGGGCGGCCCGGCCAGCAGCGGCGACAGCGGCGGCGCGGCGGCCGACACGGCCGCACCGCCGGCCGACAGCGGCTCTGGCGGCCGCGCGCCCGCCGGCACACCGCCCGGCCGCTCGTGCGGCTGCTTCTGCTGGTTCTTGTAGATCTCCCAGGCGATGCGCACGTGCATGGCGTTCCATCGGCCCGTCTTCTGAGGGCGGGCGGGCAGAGGGAGGGGGAACATCAGTTGTGACGCGCGCGCAAACCGACGGAGAGAAGCACAGACAAGACGGCGCGTCCGACTGGCCAGTGGACGATGGTGCACTAACGGCAACCTACGGCCAGCCGCACGGGGCGAATCATGGGACGAAGAGAGCCCTCCCCAGGCGCAGTCACGGACAGGCCGAGCATCGCCATACCGCGCACTGTACAGATCCACACACCAGCGAATCATGGGACGAAGAGAGCCCTCCCCAGGCGCAGTCACGGACAGGCCGAGCATCGCCATACCGCACACTGTACAGATCCACACACCAGCGAATCATGAGACAAAGAGAGCCCTTTCCAGGCGCAGTCACGGACAGGCCGAGCATCACTATACCGCGCGCTGTACAGATCTACACACCAGCGTATTATGAGACAGAGAGCCCTCCCCAGGCGCAGCCACGAACAGGCAGAGCATCACCATACCGCACACTGTACAGATCCACACACCAGCGCTACATCCAACACCAGCGGACCGACCCGCGCCATCTCCACCAGTGGTGGGGGGGGGGGGGGGGCTGCTCCCCTCCCGTCAGCCCCCGCTCGGCGCACCTTGGGGGTGGCCAGCTGCAGGGAGCCGGGCGGCGGCAGGAAGGGCGCGGCGCCGGGCGGCGGCGGTCGCGGCGCCAGCGGCGAGA